GGCGCGACTTCCGCAAGGACCACGGCGGCAACTGTGGGTGGCAAAACGCGGCGGGCGGCGGGCGGCGCGGCCGACGCGCGCGCGCGACAGCCGCGCGCCCTCGGCTTCCGAGGCACAGCACTTCGTGAGGGAGGGCTGAGGGAGGGGTGCGGAATGATGGCACGCCCTAGCTGCAGGCATGAGCGCCTTTGCTGACCGCAGCCGCGGCGCCGCGCTCCTTGTCCCCTCCCTTGTGCAGTCGGCCGCCACGGCGGCTACGGCGGCGGCGGTGGCGGCTACGGCGGCGGTGGCGGCGGCTGTGAGTGCCCGCGTGCTGCGCGCGCCCCTGCGCCGGCAGGGGGCCGGCGCAGGGGTCGAACCTGGGACCCCCAACTGCCCAGTGCCGCCGTCGGTGCAGGGCCGCGGCTGTGCAGCGGCTGGGTCCTTTTGGGTGGCTGATTGCGTCTGGGTCTTTGGTGCCCACTTGGCCAGGCTGCCCCCCTCCTGACCATCCGCGCGGGCCTCGTTGCCCTTGCCCCCGGTGCTCTCGCAGACGGCGGCGGCGGTGGCGGTTACGGCGGCGGCGGTTATGGTGGTGGCGGCTACGGTGGCGGCGGCGGCAATAACTATGGCGGTGGCGGCGCCTGTGAGTATCCGCGCGGCAGCACTGGTCGTGTGCATGCATGTGTGCACGCATGCTCGTCAGCGTGTGTGCCTGTCCTAATGCGCGCATGCGCGTAGTGGTTGTGCACGTGCTGCATCTGAGAGGGCCGCTGCTGTCAGTGCATGATCCCGTCTCGCTTACATGACGCGCCGCCGCCGCTGCTGCACCCCGCCTCGAATACAGACGGGGGCGGCGGCTACGGCGCCAGTGCCTGGGACTCGTAAGCGGCGGCCCTGAGCCGCCCCGGAGTGCCGTGCAGCATGCAGCTTCTAGGAATGGGCTGTGGGCGTTTCTGTGCACGCGGCGGGTCCGTGAGAGCGCGGCGGGGCGGCACGAATTTTCGGGCGGCTCGGCCGCGCGGGCGATGCGATTGCGCCCGCGCGGCCGCGGCAGCCCGGCAGCAGAGCAGGAGATCTCGAGTGCCCCCGCCCCGCCCCGACGCGATTCGTCAACGGTGTGTGCTTCGTGCGCGCGCACACGCGCCGCCCCGGCCTCGCCGCCGGGGCGGCGCCGCAATGGCCGGGCGTCTTTTGTCGCGCCGCGCCGCCCCAGTGCTCTTGCGCGGGCTGGCGTGCGCGGCGCATGCGCCCCCCATACGGCTTATCAAGGGCCCGCCGCTGGGGCTCCCGCCCCCCTCGCCATACTCGGCGCGGGGGGGCCATGGGGCCGCGGGCGGTTCGCCCCTGCCCAGCGCCGCGCGCCGCACACGCGCGCCCGCGCCCCGCCCGCCGCCGCTGCGCCGAAGCGGCGGCGCGGCGGGCCCCCGCGGGCGCCACACCAGAGGGACTTTGTACGCGCCTGTATGCCCGTTTCTTTTGGTTGCTGCACGGCACGCGCGTGCGTGCCCCAATCAGCATTCCTTCACTGATCTATGGGGGATTTCACGCGCGCGCGCGATAAAGGCCGCGCCATGCCTTTTGACTGCCCGGTTTCACCCCTCTTTGGTTCTTGCCTTGCGGCGCCGCTGCCCCGGTTGGCGGGCGGCGGCGGGCGCTTGCAGGGGGTGTGTGTATGGTAGAGTGCGGCAAGCTGGATTGGTAGTGCGCGCTGCTGCAGAGGGGGGTGCGTGTGGGCGAGAGGGCGGGGGCGAAGGGGATGGCAAGGGTGCGCGCAGAGCGGCTCTCGCGCGCCAATTAGGTCTCTTCAAGTTGCGCTTTGCGCCGGCCAACAGCCAGAGCGGCGCCGTGGACGTGGCCCGTGGCCCGCCCGCCCCCCCTCGGGCGGCGGGCGCTTGGGCGCATTTGCTCGGGGATGCTCTACCGCCGGGGGTGATGGCGACGCTTGCCGGCCGCGGTTGCTCGATCGCTCGGCACCCAATTGCTTTCCATCATCATCCCTTGCTGTATTCATGCCCCCTGGCAGCAGCGCACAGGACCGGAGACCCTCATACGCGCGTTTGCCTGTGCCCCGGTCCCGCCGCTTTGTCGGATTCGTCCCAACCCCCCCTTTTGCAAACGCCCATCGTGCGCCCTCCCTCGTCTTGCATGAATTGTACATGTTTCTCCTCCTCCCTCTCCGCCGCGGCTGCTGTGGTTGCGGGGGCCCGTCCGGCGCCTCCCCCAGGCCACGCGCGCGCTGGTGCCCTTTGCACGCACAGCTGCGGCCTGGGAGGCGCGAGCGCCCCGAGTAACCCCTCGATACTGCCAGCTGGCGGGGGGCCGCGTGGTCAGGGGCTGGACGGGGGCGAGACAAAGGCGTGGGATGTCAGTGGTTCATGCATCCTTCCGCGGCAGGGGTTGGTGCGAGCTGTTGCCTACGCGGGGTGGCGGGCAGCTGGCGGTGCTGCGCGGAAGATGTATAAACAATGAGAATGCCTCTTGACCGCGAAGGCCGACCTCGTGTCTCAGCGGCAGCAGCCTGGCGGCGGCAGCTGGGCAGGTGCGTTGTTGCACGGCTGTGTGTGGGGCGGCTGGACGCGGGGCTGGCTGGAGAAAGTGACGACCGCCACGCAAGAGAAACGACACGTCAGCGTGCTGTGCGAGCAGGCACCAGACTTCCAGGGACAGCCGCACCTGCTCTGGCCGTCACGGGGCGGTGGCAGCTGCGCAAAGCACACACGTCCCGGCCGCTCGCCAGCTCGCTCAGCTGGCAACTCTCAACTTTGCGCGGCAGCAGCCATGGTTTGCTGACGGTTCAGGAGCACGAGCGGGCAGCGCACGGGCCGTTGATGCCGGCGCTGACGGGGCAAGTGCTGCCTGGCCTGACGGCTGACAGCTGCGGGCTCTGGAGCAACACGCGGCGAGGCCGCAGGAGGCGTGTGCATACTGGCCTTCCTAACTGCATGGGCACAGCACTGGCCCATTCGCACAATCCAGACGCGGCACGCACAAGCGATCATAGCACCACCAGCAGCATTATGCCCACCAGCGGCCTCGGCCGACCCCAAACCCCCTGTTTTGACATGAGTGGTATATTACACTGACACAAGGGAGGCAACAAGGCGCCCACACCAGCAGGCGGCATGGGGGCAACGCATAAGCCGTGTCACTGCTGCTGCAAAACGAGCTCCTCCTCACCCACCAGCTGCGGGGGGGCTCCTGCTGCTCCAGCGGCTGCGCATGTCGGCGCGCACTGGTGGCGCCCCAGCTGCCCGGGCTGCCATTCAGTCTGGGTGGCTGGCGCTTCGGCGGGGCTGGCAGAGGGCTCACAATTTTGGACGCCAGGCTCGCAGCTGCCGGGCCGCACTGGCGGGGTCGGGGCTTCGAAGGGTCCATGTCGCTGCTGCAACTGCTGCGGCTGCTGCTGCTGCCAGAGCCCCTGCTGCTCGTGTGATGGCTGCGCGCGATGCGCCAACCACCTGTCATATATGCTGCTGGGCCCCCAAGCCGTGCTACCGACGTCGCCCTCCAAGCCGATCCGGCTGCTGCCGCCGCTTTGACTGCTGCCAATCGGCCGGCCCCACGTGCCGCCGCCTTGAGACCCGTAACCACTGCCGCGGCTCCTGCTACTCCTGCGGCTTCTGGTTTGGCTGCTGCCTGGGACTGGGTCAAACCCAACGAGCTCCGCCATGGAAATTGCGGCAATCCAAGCCGCCCGCCGAGGCAGCATGCCCATTGAGGCGAGCGCGGGGCGCAACCGCCGCCGCGCCGTTGGCTTTGACGCAGACGCACGCGCGGCTGCTGCTGCTGATGGCTGGGCCGGCCAGGGCTGCCGCTGCCCCCACGCCGGCTGCCAAGCCTGTGTGTCCCGCTCAGCCTGGACTGAGTGCTGAGCCTGCAGCTGCATGATGTGCACTTGCTCCAGCTCCGCCTCCTGTTGCTTGTGCTGCTGGTGCTGCTGCTGCTCGTGCTGCTGCTCGTGCTGCTGCTCGTGCTGCTGCTCGTGCTGCTGCTCGTGTCGCTGCTGCTGCTGCTGCTGCTGCTGCTGCTGCTGCTGCTGCTGCGCCTGCGCCTGCGCCTGCGTCTGCTGCTGCGCGTGCTGCTGCTGGTGCTGCTGCTGCTGATTCCATTGCAACACAACATGCCGAGTGGCCCTCCGCCGCCACGGCGGCCGCGCCACCTCCGCTGCCGCCGCGGCATGCCGCACTAGCTGCGCCCCGATGCGCGCCCGCTGCTGCCGCCGTGCTTCCAGCAGCTGCTCGCCGTGCGCCGCGTGCCACGCCGAGAACCCCGGCCACGCCGCCTCGAACGCCGCGGGGCGGGCGAGCAGCACCTCGGCCATGCAGCTGCCCGGCGCCCGCCCGGAAGCCAGCAGGAAGTCGAGCCGCGCGTAGGCCGCCCACCCGCGCGACAGGCACTCCTCTGTGACGGCCGGCGTCAGCCGCGCCCACTCGGCCGCCCAGTCAGGGCAGCGCCGCGCCGCCGCCCGCAGCCGCGCGACGCGCGCGACGACGCCCTCCGGCCGCGCGACCAGCAGCCGCGGGTCGTGGCACAGCATGGCGAAAACGTAGCGCTCGGGGCGCCCGGTCAGGCGCCCGAGCGCGGCGTGCGCGGCGCGCACCGCGCTGAGGTCGCAGCGCAGCAGCCGCGGGCACTTGGCGGCGAGGACGCCCACCGCGCGGCGGTCCTTATCCAGGATCGCCATCAGCACCCGCACCTTGTTTGCCATGACGCGCGGCGACATCAGCAGCACGCCCGGCCGCTCCGCCGCCGCGCGGCGCGCTGTCTGCGCGCGGACCATCAGCAGCCAGCGCAGCGCGTCGAGGCGGCGCTCGAGCGCCGGCAGCGGCCGCGCTAGGAGCTCGGGCTCGGACGCGACCGCCGCCAGCAGCCGCCGCGGCGGCGGGCCGCCGAGCAGGACGCCGACCCCCCGGACCCGCGCAGCGAGGGCGCCCGGCGGCCGCTTCGCGACGGACGGCGCGAGCGCCGCCCACGCCGCGGCGTCGGCGAACGGCACGCCCAGCTCCCGAGCCAGCTCCTCAATCGCGCCGCGCACGTCCGAGGGGGACGCTGTCAAGAGGTGGTCCGGCTGCTTGCAGATCATGAACGCCGCCTGCCGCCGCTTGAGGCCGAGCGCCGCCGCGAGGCCGGCCACCCGCCGGCAGAGCTCCTCGGGTTCGGCCGCCACGATCCGCGGCTGGCGCTCGGCCAGCCGCTGCGCGCGGTCGACTTGCAGGTGGAGGGCCGCGGCGATGGCCGCCAGCTTGGCTGGCGTGCAGGCAGGGGCTGCGGGGCGGGGCCGGGGCGGGCGCAGACGGGGGTTGACCGCACGCAAGGGGTGGTGGGCGGGAGTGCGTGCCAAGGGGACGGTGAGGTCAGCGGGGCCGGTGTGAATTCAAGAGACCTGCACGGGCCTTGCGCGTGATCTTGCACCTGCCACGTGCGGCTCACAGAACCTAAGCCGCAAGCACAACCAGGTCAGAACAGACGCCCCCCTTCCTGCGGCACCATCCTTGTTTTCCTCCCCCCAACAACAGAGAGGTGGGCTGCGTCCGAGCAGCGGGCACCAGCGCGTGTCGATGCACGCACCTCCCGAGCTCGACGTCTCAGCTGGCCGCACGAGCAGCCGGCGGGTCGCCGTCGCTTGCAGGCGGGCTGTTAGCTGCGACAGCTGTGCCGCGGTCGGCGTATGCGCACCCGCAAGCCCTCGTCCGGCCACCACCTCTTTATGCTCGGCCGGCGCCATTGCAGCACTGCCGTTTGCTGCCCCCGCGTTCTGCTCGCTGGACGTGACGTCACTGCCAGCGCTGCTGCTCCCGTTCCTGCTGCTTCTGCTGCTGCTGCTGCTGCTGCTGCTGCTGCTGCTGCTGCTGCCGCTGGCGCTGCTGGCGCCGCTGCTGCCGCTGCTGCCGCTGCTGCCGCTGCTGCCGCTGCTGCTGCACGAGTTGCTGGTGCTGCTGCTGCGACCGATGCTGTGGCCGCTGTCATTGTGAGTTGCGCCAAACCGCGCCCGGCTGCGCGCCTGTGAACTCAACTCATGACCTGAAGTTGAGGCAGCTGCGTGGGAGGCGAGCCGGTGTGCATGCTGCAGGGCTGCTTCACCTGTGAGCTCGTTCCAGCCAAGCGGTTCAGCCGCCAATACGTGCCCCAGATGCGCGGGATCGTGGTGAGGCACTGGCTGCTGCGATTTCTCTTGCTGCTCATCCTGCTGCTGTTGTTCCTGCTGATGCTCCTCCTGCTGCTGCTGGCCCTTCGCTGGCACCCAAGCTTGCTCCTGCCACTCAGCTGCGGCCGCGCCGCCCTCTTGCTGCGATGCTTGATCGGCCCGCTGCCGCTCCTGCAGCAACTCCTGCTGCTGGGCACCCATGGCCCGGCCCACAATGTGCAGCTTGCCCACGGCATGACCACCCGCTGCCCCTCCCGACTGTGACAGCACCACCACCTGGTCATGCGCTGCACTCGCTGGGTGCGCTAATCCTTCATGGCGAACGTGCGAGGCTCCTGTGAAGCATTATATGCACGTAATTTATCCATATGAGATTCCTTGGAAATAAAACACCCGAAGACGCGACCAGCAGGTGCAGTGTGCAGTGCTGCAAGTGCGATGGCGGAGTAGTCTCGATGGCCATGCGCCAATGCAGAGGCGTGAAAGAGCGTATTTTAGCATAAGACTCACGTGATGAAGACCATGACCGCTGCAGACACCCTACATGGCTGTTCGAGGCCCCAGCCCAGGCCTGAAGGCACGCTCTTTGACCTGGATGCGCCTTCCAGGTCCCGTGCATTATAATTTAAACTATCTCCGGTTCACCAGGAGCCGCGCCATGCCCCGCGTTCACCCTCGATCTCGCCTAAGCGAAGTCTAGCTGTGCGGCAAAGATTTGCGTGAGTCTGCAGCACTGTAGTTGCTGTTGCCTCGCGGTGGCCCTTTCCTGGTGTGTTGGAGATGGGGAGGCGGACGGGCGGAACGAAACGTTGCGGAGCTTCATGAGGGATGCCGAAACCTGAAACCATGGAAGTAAGCAATGGATTTGCGGTGAAAATTGGGTCTTGTCAAGGCCGCAGTTAAGGCTGGGCCGTCGCACGGCAATTTTCTCTGCTCAGCAGTGACACCTCCAAACTGGACCCCCCCCCTCGCAGGTGCACCCATCCCATGACGTGCAGACCTGAGGGCCATTGCAGGCCTGTGGGCACTATGCGGACCGGATGTCTAAGAAGTGCTAGCTCAGACCCGTCATTCGAACCATGTACTGTAGTGCAATGCAACAAGGTGCCGCATGCTGCAACAGAGCTACACGAAGGCCGCGCTCCCATTTGCAAGCGAGCAAGCCAGTGCAGGGTGCCCAAAACAATGCAACGGAAGCTCATCCTTACGGAAGGGGTGCGTATAGATCGCATCAGCAAGTTAAACTCGCAGCACGCATGCTAGGGCCAAGGCGGGGGCTGGGAACGCCAAGAAAGCAAAGAGCAGCCCACGGCTCAGGCTCATGCACGCACGCGTCGGGCACAGCTGTGATTTTTGTGGCCGCTGGCAAAGGCTTCATTTTGTTGATCCTGCCGCTGCTGATTTCCTGCCATGACTGCCATCAATCTCAGCCAATGTACAGTCCTTTGCATGGGTGCCGCGAAGTGAGCAATGCCAAGCGAGGGCAGTCTTGCCACACAGGGCACGGCCTCCGCAGTGCCAGGCGGAACAAAGTCATGCTTGCTGACTGCACGATTTTGCAAGCACCTGTGTGCAGGCTGACATGGACCAGGCCTGACAATGCCAGATCCAACTTTCAGCCATGCACCTGCTTGCTTTCATGTTTGCCGAGCGACATACTGCTGGGGCTCATCAACCGCCAGTATGCAATGCTGTTTACTGCGCCCTGCGCTGCTGCTGGCAATGCACCACGGCGCTGCGTGTGTGCCAGCTACGGCAGCCGGAACACCCGGCGGCGCGGCGACATACACACCACGCACCACACTTCTTGTGTTGGCTGGCCAGCTAAGCCACGAGCACCACGTGACTGGGTGCACCCACCAGCGGCGTCGGACAGCACTGCGCTGCGGCAGCGTTGCCGCGGCTCAGGAACTGCAACGGCCAAGCCTATGTAGAGTCATGATATTTTACCCCTCAGGACCCAACCGCCAAACTCTAGGTCGCTGCGATGTACAAAGCTCCTCGGCTGCTTCCCGTGCACGGGGGGCCCGTCGGGCTGGAGATCGGTGGCCTAAGATTGGCTCTCCTGTCGCCCATCTTCCGTCAACTGCTATCGTAAAGAAACGCGCTTGTCGCCATGCTCACATGCTGTGCATCGCATTGATCACGATGTCTGAAAGCTGATTTGATGTGTAGAAGCGTGCGGTGCTGCACGATGCACAGACAACACGACGGGACATATCAGCAATTTATTTGTCTGCCACTCAAGACGAATCGTCGAAAAGCTTGCATGTGCCGGGGAAGAAGATGACGTCGCCTGGAAGCCGGCAGGACAATGCATACTGCGCTTGCGCGAGCTTGAAGGTGTGCAGGTGCTAGTGCTTGCTGTTCACGACACAACGGTGCAATTCGTTCAAGCCATAGTCTGATCACCACAACACGAAACTTACGCTGCCTGCTGCAGCCGACGTATTGCAACCGCACCTGTCGACAGCAGCACCACACACAGGAACCATGGCCGACATCGCCGCTGGAGAGAAGATCTTCAAAACGGCAAGTATACCGAGGCGTGCTGTCCAGGTCCTGTGCTGCTAGGGTGTGCGGACAGTGGGGTGTTCTGCACGGAGGTGGACTCACGCTGCTGCGCTGCTGCTTGCGCTTGCGACCTGCAGAAGTGCGCTCAGTGCCACACTGCTGAGCGTGGTCAAGGCCACAAGCAGGTGAGAATTTTTCCTCGCGCACAGTCATGGCCATGCAGGCAAAGCCGACAAAATGATCTGAGGGTTCTCGCGGCCAGCCCAAGAAGGGCGCCCGCGACCTAATAAATCTTGATTGCATCTGACTTTATGGTCGTTGTGTTGCACCGCCTCCCTCTTGGTGACGCCACTCCGTCCTTTCCACCCGCGTCGTTCTTCCGTCCTTGCCACCCCTCCCCGTGTCCCTCTCAGGGCCCCAACCTGGGCGGGCTGTTTGGTCGCCAGTCCGGTCAGGCGCCAGGCTTTGCTTACAGCAAGGCCAACAAAGAGAAGGCCGTAGGTGTGCGCCCCATGATATTTGTGGGGCGGCTTGGGGGGAGCCTCGCAGCAGCAGCAGCAGCAGCAGCAGCGGCATCCTGCTGCTGACATCGCAATATTCGTCACCTGCGAATCAGCTCATGACCGTGCAACATCATGACATTGATTAGCTTAAGCACGCAGCTTATGTCATAAGGGAGTTGCCCAGCGCAGTCCTCGTGCGAGCCGAGCGCAGTTGCTGACCCCACCTCGCCTCATTCGGCTCTCCTGCATGTGCGCCACGTGCCTTCCTTGTTGCCCTGGCGAAACAGTCTGGGCGTGAGTTGCAGTCCTCTGGGTCGTCGTGTTTTCCTGGGTCACCTGTGGCTCTGTACAGCAGCACTCGTGCATGGATTCACTGGGCCAACCGCACAGCTATGGACAGTTGCAACGCTGCGGATACTGCAGGGTACCAGGAGTGGCTCGTGCTCACAATCGCTCCCTACCTATGGCCAAATCTAACAGAGAGGAGACTCTGTTTGACTACCTGCTCAACCCAAAGAAGTACATTCCGGGTGCGCTGCGGCGCACGTGCTTGTCACGTCCAATGACCCCTGCGATCGGCGGGAGGCGACAGCGGCCGGTGCCAGAGGGACCATTCGGCTACGCCCGCGGCGAGTTGTTTCCGCATGCATGTTTGACTGGGGCCAGTAGTGCAAGAGATCCTTACCTTGCGGTTGCCATGTGGATCCGCAGGTACCAAGATGGTGTTTGCAGGCCTGAAGAAGCCCGAGGAGCGCAACAACCTCATTGCATACCTCAAGCAGGCAACTGCCTGAGGCGAAAGCAATTGTGGCATCAAGGGCGGCAGTGCCGCTGTGGCGGACCGTCAGCAGCAGGTTGTGCAGCTGCGCTGACAAGCTGGGTGCATGATGGGAGCGGGCGGCCACTGCAATTGATTGTGGCGGTGCCCCTCTTTCTTTCCCTGGCTGTGAAGCTGATCCTATTGCTGCATCGAAGTAAATTTGTTGTGGTTTCATACGAATGCCAGCAGCATTGGCTTGTGCCATTAAACCTGTTGCATCAAGAGAAATTCATCGCTGGGACTGCAAACACTGGCTGCTGGGGACTGCAAACACTGGCTGCTAATGGTGCTGGTGATCTGTGTGTGGTGAAGATCAAGTCGTTCCATGCTCATCATGCGCGCACTGCATTCGGGCGACGTGGCATCCTGCGTGCCTCTCATCAAGGCTTTGACACAACATCAAGCTCAGTGCTGCCAGCGGATGCCTGTTGTATGGGGCCAAGGGTTTGAACATTTGGAAAGAACCCTGAATACTGTTGAAGCGCTGATGTCACGGGGAGCAATGTGTTGTGAGGGTCGCTGGCAGGGGGTATGGCTCGCCTAGGCATCAGAAGCGGCTACAGCCACTACATGTCCTCGAGCGGGCATGGCAGCACACATGTACGTCCCCTGTTGTATATTACGGAGCACGCATGGAGCAGTCGTGGCAACTTCTGCTCGTTTGCAAGAGGTCACATACGACTGCGGGGGGCGCTGGCATGGCGGGGTCGGGCGCCTTGCGTGGTGGTGCTGACATGCACAAG